ATGAGCTACCAATAACTCAATGTGCGCTTATAAACTGATCAGACCTCCAATCCTCCTTCCACTCGTGCACCACCCCTCGAGACCTTCGACTCGACCCCGTTCGAATAGCTCCAAGTTCCTCTTACGTTCTCGTCGTCGACGACGACGACGACGACAACGTATTACTCGGGACTGCTTCGGCACAGAGTGAAATGCAAGCGAATTTACCACGCGATTTAACATCCCCTTCGTGGCACGGGCATTCATCCGCCTTCTTCCACGTACTCCTGGCCCACGATGCACACGAGAGGTCGGAGATATGGGGAAAAAGTCGACGATTCCTCCGTAACTCAGGGTTAACCGAGTTTGTTGCGCCGCGTACCGAGCTTGTCTATGAGACAGCTTACAATTCTGTTGAATTCGTGCGGATTCCAAAGCGTTCGCCAGACTACGCGACTCGGCGTCTTAACGTTATTTGTTTCGTCGTCGAATTGATTTCGTACCACCTGTTTACTTTTCTTTTATTTCGTGAAAATCTGACGACTTTGCAGTGTCGGATACAAAAACTCTTTGAACTCGAGCATAATTTAGAGATCCAAAAAGTAATTTTGAAGAAATAAAAATTTAGTACAATTTTTATTTCTCTAATGATTGAATTTTTCTGAGGAAAAATATTTTTCAAAACATTGTTATTCTCGTTACTGCTGTTATACGACGCCTGTAGCATGACGGTATCATCGCAATGGAAGAAGATGGCAACATCCTTTCAGGCAAAAGGTCCGTATACACGCAAGAGTAGTTCCAGTTGCATGCTTACAGGCGTAGAAACCAGTACCTACCATCTGCAAAGAGGAGACTATCGATCTCATTGGTACATGGTCTCATCGAATCTCGTTTACCATGGGGATTCTAAAGGGCCGGAGTAAGATCGAAGCAGTAAATTTAAGGATTTTGGTCCTGCTTGAAGAATAAATTTAGCCCCGAATGATTCGCGAGTTGGAGGATCCGTTTCTTTAGAATGAAACACCGTATCCAGAAACATCACGCAACTTCTATCAGAAATTTTTCATTGAAATTGTAGAATCGTCCAAACAATTAAACAAATATTTTAATTAAAAGTAACTGTAGAAAGAAGAATGATTGCCACTATGAAATTCAAATCTTGTCAAGTTACAGATTCTACCACCTTCTTTTTTTATTTTCTAATCTTTGCATCAGGTTTAGGTTAAATTATTTCGTATCTATTTAGATCTCTATTTAATCGACCTTGTTTAAGCATCCCGAACGCACGTGCATAATAGAAGCTACTCCTCTTACGTCAGTGAGCAAAGTTATTATATGTAAATCACTGTATTCAACAGCGACTTATCTCATGCTATAAGAAACAGCTATTAAAAATTCTTATAATCCCGTTGTAATTTTTTTCTAACACTTCGTGATGAAGCAATTCCATTAATTGCTCCTATTCTAGCAAAATTTACAAAAAAATTTGTTTAATGAAATAGTACTATTATTGAATATTGAATATTGAATAATAAAAGTCTAGATTTGAAAGGATAACAAGTTTTGCATATCTCTGATGTCCTTTTTTAATTCGCGTCCCATGGTCGGCATCGAAGTCACCGCGACAATGACAAAATAAATTGTTGTCCCACGTTCTTTCATCCGTAACCTTGAAACATTTCCGGGTTTACCGGCCTCTAAGCTCTTAAGGTACCATTCGGCCATTTTACAACCCTGTTAGGGCCGTCTATCACGCTTTGCCCAACGACAGATGTTTGCCTTCTAATGTATGCACGTGTCAACGTATCTGCTCGTGTTCGCTTCTACTTCCTGATAGATCGTAATGCGCGGGTGGTGGAGATAAATAATAATGTCGAGCTTGCTCGAAGAATGCTAACCGAGAAATCGGAGGATGTGAAATTCATATTGGAGAAACCGAGGGTGAAAAATAAATTAATTGACTAGTAAGTGAAATGCATGAAGAATAGATTAAACGCTGAAGTGTATTTTATAGCTGTTGTGTGCATAGTTTAATATATTATGGTCATTTGCTTCAATTTAATTGCAATTTATTGGGTTATGGTGTATTACAGATATACAGCTAGGAAATATGTTATAGAAATATATTCTGAAGTATTTTTAAATGCTGCAGCCTTTTATTTATATCATTTTTCTTGCAAGGGTGTGATGTGATGTATACCTTGTAGAGGGTTTAAAAAATCTTACACATATATTTTTTTAAATTCTAAAATTTCATTTTAAAGAAACTTAATAACTTCATTCTGAGTTAAAATAATTTTAAGAATATAACTTTTTTTAGTTTGCTAATAATTACCCAACTAAAAGTCTACTGGTATAAAATATACCTGCATATTGCAATATTTATTTCAGTATTTAAGTCTATTATAAGATTTAAGATTACCTGGATTCATTTAACTAGCCTGTTCATTGAGTTTATTTAGTTTTAATAACATGATTACTAGCTTTGTGTAGCTTTTTGATTTATAACTGTTGTCTGATTGTAAGTCCTAATTTCAGAACCATTACGTTATAATAACACAGTGCCAACATTGTATACCAGTTACAAGATAATTACATGTAATTAAAGTGTTTAAATTGCTTTATCAGGCCATTAGTATCGGAGAATTATTACGATATATATTACTTTTATGTAATACATAGTTTCCTTGAATGTTAATTTAATTTTCAATATACGATTACCCCAAAATGTAATATATTTCTAATTAGGCACTGATGTTTTAAAGTTTAAAATTAACTATGAAAGTAGAATGATGATTTTCTAGTTAGCCTGTGAATGACATTTAAAAATGAAGTGTTAATTGGATGAAAGCGTACGTTATATTGAATTTTCCCCGCTCGCGTTCGCAGAATGAGATTGAGATAGCTTAGAATAGGCTTCAAACAGATAACGGTTGTAATTGTTTTTCGAAGCTATTGAATATGCAATCCTAGTAGACAAACAATGATATCATGATCGAGAGATCAAGATCAGACAAGCATGCGTGTCTTACGCTGCTCATTTACATTAATTAACATCGCACAGATACCCCTTTGAGTTTGGACAATAGATAAATAGTCTCGGGTCACACGATCTTGTAGAATCATCGTGACGACATGGATTCCGTTCTCCTTTTATTTTTTTATTTTTTTTAATAATAGAAAATTCTTTATTCATAAACTAAAGTGATGAGATTTATGGCATGATTATAATTGTACTGCAGATATTTATGGAGATATGTGCTTCTGTAGAATATTTTCTTTTTTCAGATAATTTAAATTAAGTATTATTGTAATTTACACACTGTGAACAAATTATTTCATTTTTTTTTTATTAATTAATTCAAGATAGTAAATCTCTAATTATAATCGTAAACGATATACTATATTTAGGAATAGCTTGACAGTAATATAATAATTTATAATTCTAATGAAAATATTTTACTATTGACTGCTTGAAAATATTAACAAATTTCATGTATGCCGAAGGAAAATTTACCACTTTCAATATTTGTTGTTTAAAATATACCAGTTTTGCCTAAAAGACCAATTCCAAACGAAAGAATTATACAACAAAGAAGCTCTTCCCGTTTTCCAAACAATCGGCACCAGTAGGTGCCTAAGGTCTATTACGTTCCTTCGCATTCTTTCATCCTATTCCAAAAATTTTGTTCGAACCGACAGCTCGACGGAGGGTCCGTAAAACGCTAGAACGGTAGAGTTCAATTCCGTATGCAAATGTCGCCGCTCTCACGACATCTCGCGCGTCGAGGACCCCCGGCGGTCGCCTCGAGAATTTGAAAAGCCACCACCTGAGAACGTGTCAATCGGCTGACATAATTCGATTTGAATAATGAACGAACGTCCCCTATGCAAATTTCGACCATTATCGAGGGCCCCGCTAACGGTCCTCGAGCAACGTTATTTCACGCGACACGCACCTCCTCCTCGACGAAAAACGCGTAAGAATCGACGGCAACGTGTAGAAATGTCAATAGGACCGTTAGACTTCGAATAAGTTACTTTGTAAAGCATTTTGAACCTTCGGTCCTATTTGCATTTATAGTATGCTAAGATATCGAACCCTTTGAAGGCGGACCGCTGAGACAACACTGATATAAATTCTATTTTATTTTCATTTTTACTTTCTTTATGTTAGAAATATCCGTGCGATAACCTTTCATTAGAACCCAAAAATTTCGGGTACTCGATTCTTGGACCGTTTTCTCACGGATCTATACTTTCGAGAACCCAACCCCACTTAACCCTATCGGATTCTCGCACACCTTTAATAATTTTAAACTTCGAGAAGTAAAAATGAACAGAGTATAAAATTAAATTTAAATTGTTGCCATCTGAGCAGTCCATCGTCCAAGGGTTAAATAAGTGTTGCAAGAAAATTTTAATTACACCCTAACAGTATCACACTTTTATTATTCGTGCGACTCGTCGATGGCAGGTGTTCGAAACGCGATATTTAACGGTGCAGATGCGGCCATCGGTCGATCGTAATCGGCTTGGCCTCGAAATTGATAAAAGATAAAGAGGAACATTTAATTAGTACGCCTCGATCATTTCGCGACAACGCGATCAAAATAATTACACCGGGCTACGTTGCATTTATTTCGTGAAATGACTGGTCGATTTATGTCTTCCGTGTCCGATAGGTACTAATCGGATTACAACTACGGTAAGAAATTCGTTGTAATCCAATTAAGAATTAAACGTGCGTAAAGGTCTCGATGGCACAGCATTTCAGCCGTTTTTATATTACTGAAAGGCATAAAATTTATGTTGAAGATACTCGTTTAAGGTTGTAGTCATTTTTGGTAATTTGATTAAAGATTAAATATTTCAAACAACGTGGAATTAAAGTTTCAAGTAACATGGACATTTTTATGATTATTGCAAATGCCAAAGGCGAAAGAATAATGTAGATTTAAATAGTAATTAAAACTGCAAATTTAAACATTCAATGTCATATAAAATAATTAACTCACTTTAAGATGACTGTAGTATCACTGGATGACACGATTGTCCATTTTCTTCCAGCACTGCAATGCAAAGTCACACAATTACACAATTATACTATTAATAATTATTTAACCACTTAATATAATAATTCACAATAAATATAACGGATCAGATGAAAAAGGAACGGATCATTATATAAAGATATTAGGAAACTGCGAATATACTATAACCATAATAAATTGTTTAATTTATTTATTAATTTAAATACATCCAATGAAAACCTGAAAAGTCATAATGTTTAAGTAGTTCAGATTATTTATTCTTCGCGTTTCGCGTACAATTTATCAGAAAATATCGTCAACTTTGCCGCGAAAACATCGTTGATTACACATTCAATCAGAAATCGAGGGTGCCAGGGTTGTAACGATCGTGCGTGGTGTCCCACACCATTTATGCTTTCAAGAATTCCGCGATAAGCAATAAGCAAGTCAAGTCGGAATATTTTCTCGCGTGTGGCGTGCGAGAAGGCATTACAATGGTCTCTGATGAATGTTCGTATACATTTACATCGGAAATCGGCATAGTGAAGCCAGCTCCAAGAAAGTCACAATATATTATACATACTAGATTCAAAATCATTCGACTTGAAAATTTGGCAATCATTCTTTTTGAAGTTATTTCCAACTTATATTTAAAAAATAGTTCATAAACTTTTCACTTATGTGATATAATCATTTAAAAATATATATATATTAATTTTAAGAATTATAATTAGATATTCTCAATAGTAATTTTAATTATTAGGAGACTGCAAATGTTTAGACAAGTGCATAGGTTTTTATAGAAAAGTGATATTAGTAAAATTCATTACTCTAATTAATTCTTATTTTAAAAAATTAATTATCTATTAGTGAATGCGCCAAAAAATTTTTAGAAGCGTTGTATTTAAAAAAACTTTAAATTCATAAATGCATAATGCACCCTGTTATAAAGGGAATATCTCACTAGACCGGTTTCTCTGCTGCAATTCATCCCCGTGAATATTTTATTAGGTCCGGGTTTAAACATCCTTCTGACCGGGTCCCTTTAAACTGTGCAAAGTGGCACAATTTAAACGCGACCTTGCGCTTGATAATAGTTTATGAAGCGGGACAGTGTTCTCTATGCAGCGCGACAGCTCATAGTTTGTTCGAGAGAGAGAGAAGAAACAAGACACGGACTGGGTTTATGTCCCGGAATTAATTAACCTACAACCCCTCCGACTGCAGCCATTCCACCCTCTCATTCTCTCGTTCTGAAAGCACCGAGCGTGCCAGCCATTTTGTCCTCGACTCTCACTCTCGAAATTCCATTACCCACTTTCTCCACCCTGCTCAAACTACCCCCACGTTTTCTCCGCCCTCGCAACTTTCTCTCTTTCTCTATTTTGCTCGCTCCTACTAATGTATATGCCTGCCACCCCTTTCGGTACTGTCATCACCCGCGCGGTTTCATCCACCCTTCCTAACGCCATTTACTTCCGGTTGAAACTTTCTCTTAATTTAAAGTAGAGATACGCCTCGGTCTGACAATGTTTCCTGTTCGTTTCATACGTTTTATAGCGAATTGGTGGTATTTTTATTTTTTCTTATTAAGTTAAGTGTTGATGAGTATATGAATAATTAATTTCCGTAATAATTAAATACCATAATTTTAATACTTAAGTAATCGTGGATCTTCTCGCGTAAATCGGTAAAGGGAAACTAGCTCAGGGTTTAAACAATATTCTTCTGGAGGGTAAGAGTGACATAGATAAAGAGGGGTAGTGGGGTTGGTAAGCATTTTCCACGTGGTGGAGGTAGCTAAGAGGGCTCGCTTAGGGGATGATAAGATGCGATGCGAGTTTTTATTAATACTCTACCTCATCTGCTGGTTACTCGCTCTACCACGACCCCCCTAAAGTCTTAAAGAGATTGCGGAACGAACGGTAGCGAGAGGAAGAAAGAAAGGGAAAAAAGAGAGTAAGAATTTACTCTTCCACGTTGGTGAGAAGAGCACGTGCAAAGAAAAAGGAAAAGGCGAAAGCTCTCGGTTAACCAAGGTGAGGGGCCATGACACACGACCTACCTCAATCTGACCCAGCCTCTACTTAACGCGGTGCTTCTTCAAATAAGGATAGAGAGAGGTTGCAAGAAGCAGTAATACGTATTTTAGAACGAAGGTGGAAAGGGTTAAATATATTATTACTAGACCTCGAGAAGGATTAAATTCTCTAATTAAACTGAATTTTGTCGAAGTTCATTAAATACCATTCATCCAAAAGAAAAAGAGAAGGTTTAAGAAAAACTACAAAAGAGTGTACGAAAAAGTATGACAGCAAAAAGCGAAGAAATGAAAAACTACAAAACATATTTATTCATTGAGTTCACTATCCGACAGGATGCACCGCAGTGTCCGCATGAGTAATCGGCAAACTTTCTCAGGGAAACTCAGGTTGGATTCTCGAACGTGTACGTTGAAATAAGAAAGAGGAATAAAAAGGAAGAAAGAGGAACGAACGAAGACATTGTCAGTTACTTTCAACCCCTCTCGGCACGAGAGGGCACAATGAAAAGGGCTGTAAGTGTTCATGGAGGTTAGTCCACGAACTCTGGCTCTCTCCTTTCGCCAGGATTTACCTTCTTCGCGAGACAGCCCTCCATCGCTCTCACATCTATTATCATATTTCACGGAAGAAACTCGAAAACAGCCAGATTTATGAACGGACTTTTGGCCAAATAAACACACGCATTCGCGCAGCCCCGTCCTCGGCATCTGCGGAATTCTTCGAGTGACAGGATGCGAAATGGGCCGACATCATTCCCTTTCGTATCTGTCGAATCGTCGGTTTCCTACCAACGACTCGTTCTTGTCACTTCGCTAAAGAATGGCCATCCTGAAGAAACCTGCAGGAAGTCGGCTTGATTCATTTCTAAAAGTTCGATATTTCTCCGAGTGTTTTAGGAATATTTCATAAATAAATTTTAATGAATTGAAATTTGAATTCAAATAATTGGCTATAAATTTTCTAGAATTTCTGGTGTTTATAAAAAGCGCAGCCCTTTTTTGCTTAATTCAAGAACGCTTCCTATCACAAACATGGGAATATCATATCTTTGCACGAGCAAGGGAATTACCATAAGCTTGTCGACATGTTATCCTTGCTTTACTACCTTATATTTATGAAGCATCCTGCTGATAGGTATGCAAAGCAAGTTAAGGTCCTATTCATTCGTAATACCGGTGATCAATATTTTCATACATTTTTCGAACCACAATACTATCATAGCTACCACATTATAATCATTATTCAGGAAAACTTGCTATTTTATTTCAAACATCATTTACAATTAGGATTCATTGTACTATTTCAAGAGAAACATGTTGTGTGACATTTCGAAGAAAATTATTTTGCTTGTAAGAAAAGAAAATAATTTTTAACTTACCTTCTAATTTTAAATAATTTTGAAAACAGTACTTCATTATTATTGAAAATATACTTGCAAATACTCACTGTTTTCATTCTGACCAGCACCATAAATTCAATATAATTAAATAATTGAAGGAAAGCACTATTTTGCAATATTTCTGTCATCAAATCTACAATTTGATATGCAAAATCCTACTAAATATGGATTTATTGTTTCATACTGTTCGTAAGAATATTTATGATAAATTACACATATTACACTCTAATTTAATACTTAGCGTGTTAATTCCGATCTAACAGTCAGATTAACCTCGATCTGCATACCAAGAAATAAGTATATACGTCACGAAACACCATAAAGAAACTAAAGGCACACGTGACACGAAAATACCCATCCACCCTAAAATCTCGAAACCACCCACACCCTCGACTGTATACACTCACACAGTAGAACGATCGAAAGGGCTTCGTGAAAGGCATGTGCACCCTTATCGAGAAAAAAATAACGCCCAATCAGGAACGTAGAACGTGTGCAACTCACCCCTACCCTGGGGATGCGTGTGTCTATGGAATTCAGTGCGGTCGTCATGACAACCCCATGCTTTTCTTCCAGAGATGTCCATAGAAGACACCACCTACTCGTGTTCTCTTTCTATTGCTTGTCTAATGCATTACAATATTCCTATGCATTTTTTTCACCCTTCTGCGTTAAAAATTTTCTGTTATTAGCTGCACAAATTAATTCGGTGCTTTTCCTTTTTATTTAATTAAAGATTTTTTTTTAATCATGGTAACTCATGATGATAATTTTTTTTAAAAGTAGTTCCTCCGGTTTTTAATGTATGTACATCGTGTAAAATGAAAATGTATTTAAAACTATAATATTATAATAATAATTTATTATAACGAGATTATTGCTGAAAGGAGTTGAAAGATTCCGCTAAAAATCCAACGATGTTGACTCGTGTCTTGATTGCGTTCACGAGTGCACTGTTTTAAATGCAACAGGATTTCCATGGACCACGTGCTGACGGAAACGGTAAATGGAATTATCAAGGCACCGTGCGTACTTCCGTAAATACCGCACAGCTTTACGAAATGCGAGTGGAATGGAATTAAATGGGATTTCTCGTCGTCTACCGTCACGCGTTCCCCCATGAAATACGTACGCACTTAACGAAATCTGCACGTGACGGAGTTAAGTAGTATTACCGTGTAACTTGGCATACAACGTTGCACCAGACGCAGGCATTTTTAGCTAAACTTGTACCTGATTTGAAATTAATTATATTCTGATATGATATAAAGTCTTCTGATACTAAATTTGTAAACTGACAAAATTTTATCAACATTTTTTTGTTTTCTTTTTTAACACATTTGCGACTTGAGTTTTTTGGAAAATTGAATTTTTTAATAATTCAATGCATTCGTTTTGCTACTTCGTCTAATTGTAAGTAGGGCACTTTATTTAGTTGCAAAACACTTCGATTGGAAAGAAAACTTTAATACGAAATGGTATTTACGATATTTTACGATATATAATATGGGTGGTTGCCAACCATTCCCGTTGAGAATTGATAGAGTCAAGAATATTTCTCTCCCCGCAACCGCCTCTTTCTCTTCTCGAGCCTA